CAGAGAAGTCAGGCCATCCATAACAATAACCCTCAGAAAGGGAGAGGTGATGACAGTGAATAACCAGAAAGCAACAAATGTCCATTAAAGCATTCAAGGCAGGAGAAGGGAAATATTTAACAATACCTTAATATGAGTTAGAGTGATTAGTAATCTTATGCATTATGGGAACAATTCATTTTTTTCAAAGTAATAATGTGTTGCTGACCACATGTTATTAAACCACTAGATGCCATGAACTTTTTGATTTCTCTTGCCAACAGTGCAAGTTGATACCAGGCTGTAAGTAATTGATGTTATGCTGCCATCCTTTGGTCGATTTTAAAATGTCTTCCTTACTAATGAACTATTTGGTATGTTTTTAATATACAGAGGTAACCAGAATTTTAATTACAGCATTATATTTTTTAGATTGACAATGTTAAATTTGTGGGAAAAGGTGAGTAGATAAAAATGTATACTTGTGCAATAAACTTAAAAGTCATTTACGAAGTCCATTCTAGTCAGATAGATTGCCACTCTTAGTTTATTCCATTTTCTTCAAAGACTTTGTCTTTTTTTTTAGACAACTGACTGAGCCACCCAGGCACCCCTAGCTATACCACTTTATTTTTATGGTAGTTTCTTTAGGGCTTAAAGTTTATATATCTTTATTTAGCATATTACAATTTATTTTCAAATAATACTACATATGGCTTAAAGTTCAGTGCAGAGGATATTACAACAATATATTTCTTTCTCCTTCCTCTCATCCTTTTTGCTATTGTTGTCACACATTTTCATGTTTTAAACCCCACAAACATTGATACTATATGTATTTTAAATAGCCAATTACATTTTAAAGAGATTTTTAAAATGAGAAAATATTTCATCTGTATTGACTGATTATCAAGTATTTACCCACATAGTTACCCTTTCTGGCCTTGTTCATTCCTTTTGGTAAATCTAAATTTCTATTTGGTATCATTTTTCTTGAATAACTATTCTTCTTCTTGAATAACTTCCTTTAATAATTACCGTATCTCAGGTCTGCTGGCAATGAATTCTCTTGGCTTTCTGCTTGTCTGAAAAAGTATTTTGTCTTCAGTTTGGAAATATATTGTTGCTGAGTACAGAATTCTAGGTGGAGATAGTTTTTTTTTCAGTACTGTAAAGATACTGTTCCACTGTCTTTTGGCTTGCATGACTTTTGAAGAGAAGACGGCTGTCATCTTAATTTTATTTCTCTGTGCACCATATGTCTTCTTTCTCCTGACCGATTTTAAGGTATTCTTTCTACCATTATATTTCAGCAATTTGATGATAATGTGCCTTGGTGTGATTTTCTTCTTGTATCTTCTATTAGGATTTTCTTAAGCTTCTTGAATCTGTGGGTTTATCATTTTAATTAAATTTGGAAAAGTTTCAGACATTTTTTATCTCCTTCTGGGACTCTACAGAAATATCAGACCCATTCAGTATGATCATATAGGCGACTGATGTTCACTTAGTCTTTTTCTCTTTTATTTTTGATAGTTTCTATGGTGATGTCTTCGAGCTCACTGATACTGTTTTCTGCAGTATCTTATCTGAATGTTAATCCATCTAGTGTATTTATTGCTTTAGGTAGCATGTTTTTCATCTCTAGAAATTCACTTTGCTCCTTTTTGATATCTTCCATTCTTTCTTCATCACATTCATCTTTTTTCCTATCTTGTTGAGCTTATGAGGTAAATTTGTAAGAGGTGTTCCAACCTCCTTGTCTGCTAATTCTGTCATTTGTGTCATTTCCAGGCATTGTTTTCTTGATTATCTTTTCTACTGTTTTTAGGTCCTATTTTCCTGCTTCTTTGTATGTCTGATAGCTTTTGACTGGATTCAGAGCATTGTAATTTCGACATTACTGGATTTGTGAAGTCCTTCATATATGGTTGGGCTTTGTTTTAGGACATAGTTGAGTTGCTATGAGGACATAGTTTAGTTACATAGTTGAGTTACTATGTTTGATTCCTTTGGGGCTTGCTTCTTTAGTTAGTATGGATGGAGCAGACTTCATAGTCTAGGGCAGTGTCCTCTTACTACCAAGGGACTATCCTCATAAGGACTGTACTCACTGGTCCCTATTCTAGGAAATCTGCTCTTTGCCTGGTGGAAACATGAAATATTCCCAGGCTTCTGTCCACCCTGGGGATAGTTGGCCCATTCCTTTCTGAGCATTCTTTCCCTGGTCTCCAGATCCTAAGTGACATGGGCTCTAGATATTCTTAAAAAACGTTGTATGTATGCATGTGTGTGTGTGCATGGGCTTGAGTGTATATCTGTACACATGGCTGTGCCTGTGGAGGGTCATGAATGACATTCAGAGCCCATGAGACAGTAAAGCCTGGTGCGTGGGTCCCTTTTGTCTAAATCTAAGGACGGTATTAAGGGAATCCACTGCAAGCTTACATTACTTTAGAGAAAAACAATGGAAAACTATCAGGATAGTGAAAAAAAAGTGCTGGGTGCCTGGGTGGCTCAGTTGGTTAAGCGACTGCCTTTGGCTCAGGTCATGATCCTGGAGTCCCGGGATCGAGTCCCACATCGGGCTCCCTGCTCAGCGGGGAGTCTGCTTCTCCCTCTGACCCTCCCCCCTCTCATGCTCTCTCTCTCTCTCTCAAATAAATAAATAAAATCTTTAAAAAAAAAGTGCTAAGTATTAAGCATCACTGATTAAAACAAAGTCTTTGGGGACACCTAGGTGGCTCAGTCGGTTAAGCATCCGCCTTTGGTTCAGGTCATGATCCCAGGGTCCTGGGTTCAAGTCCCACGTTGGGCTCCCGGCTCAGCAGGGAGCCTGTTTCTCCCTCTGCCTGCCGCTCCCCCTGCTTGTGCACTTTCTCTCTCTGACAAATAAAATAAATAAAATCTTTTTAAAAAGCGGTATAGCTGATAAACCAATAGTGGAGATAAAATGGAATCATTTTTTGTAATCAATCCCAGAAAAGGGGAAAAAATGAACAATTAAAAAATAAATAGCAATATGGTAGATGTAAATCCTGCTGTAGTACATTAATTATATTTACCTATGTGCATAACCACATTAAATGTAAATGTGACAAGTAAAAAAATAGCCATATATGAGACAGAACAAGAAAGGCATTTTTAAAAAGATATAGTGCTGTGAGGATCCAGAAGAGAGATTATAGCTTCTTTTTTTTAAAATATTTTATTTATTTATTTATTTGACAGAGAGAGGCAGCAAGAGAGGGAACACAAGCAGGGGGAGTGGGAGAGGGAGAAGCAGGCTCCCCGCTGACAGGGAGCCCGATGCAGGGCTCCATCCCAGGACCCCAGGGTCATGACCCAAGCCCAAGGTCTGACTGAGCCACCCAGGTGCTCTGAGAGATTATAACTTCTTAAAAATAAAATCAAGGCTGTAAAGAAGAAGTAATCCTTAGTCCTTGCACAGACAGGTACTGGGGGTGAAGGAGGTGTGGGTGATGTTTCTGAGAGAGAAAGCATCCAATAAACACACACACACACCCTGTCTAGCTGCATTAAGGAAATAGTGAGTCATTAACCTTATCTGGAGTTCAGGTTTCCTCACACAACATTTGGAGCAAGAGTGGGAGATAAGATTGGAAAGGTAGGTTGGAGGCATATTCAGGAGGATTTAAAATATGGAACTGGGTATTTACCATTCAAGAGGCATTATTTATTTAAAGATATTGATGTAAAATTTACCATAGTTATAGGTACCCTAGGGAATATACACTAGCCAACTGCCCCCAATCTGTTTACATATAACTTTATTATTTATAATGGTTACATAGCAGGGCGCCTGGGTGATGCTGTTGGTTAAGCATTAGACTCTTGGTTTCAGCTCAGGTCTGATCTCAGGGTCGTGAGATCGAGCCCCGAGTAGGGCTCTGTGCTCAGTATGGAGTCTGCTTGGGCTTCTCTCTCCCTCTCCCTCTCCCCCACTGTGCACACGCTCTCTCTCTCTCCCTCTCTCTTTCTCTCAAATAAATTTTAAAAATCTTTTTTAAAAATGGTTACATAGCATTTTTTAAAAAATTTTATTTATTTGAGAGAGAGCGGGCACAAGCGGGGTAGGCAGAGGGAGAAGCAGACTCCCCACTGAGCAGGGAGCCCAATATGGGACTCGATCCCAGGACCCTGGGATCATGACCTGACCTGAAGGCCGATGCTTAACCGACTGGGCCACCCAAGCACCCCTACATAGCATTTAATTATATGGATTTACCAACATTTATCTAACCCTTCCCTTATTTTTGGACCTATAGGCCGTTTCTAATATTCTGCAGTTACAATAATTTTATAACAACCTTCTTTTGCTAATTTTTTTCTCTTTCACGTTACCTTTCATAGGCCAGGAACTTAGATATTCAACTGCTTGAGTAAGATATGAAACAATTTAAGATTGCTCATATGTATTTTAAGGTTAATTTGCTCAAACATTTGTGCAAATGTACAGTTCTACTTGAAGTTTTAAATTTAGTAGTCTGTATAGATTTTAATTTTTCCCCCCGAGTGCCCTATAGGTGCTGCTAAACCTCTGATAAGTATTACTCAGATATATATTTAATATATATATTTAAAGAGTACTCCTTTAAAAAATACTCTCAATAAAAGAACTTTAATAAGCTTGACTAAATATTTAGAAAGCATATTGTGTTGAGTGAAACTTTGTATGTAATAGTGAGGGTAATAGAAAATCATACTGGATGACTAGTCTGTAATTATTTGAAGGAACACATACAATGAAACAAGTTCTTTTGGTTACTTCGTCAAACAGCCAACACAATGGAGAAAGTGGAGGAAATGTCCCATAAACACTATGAAAAGGGAACCAGAAACCTAACATGTAATCTTAGAGTAATGACAGCACTAGAAAACAAAACCTACAAAAGAGAACACCTTCCAGAACTATCTGAGATGCATGAAAAGCAAACATTCACTAAAGCTGGAGCTGTACTAAGTCTGTACAGAGATAAGTGGCATATTTGACCTTCACCATGATTAACAAGCATTTCTTTGAAATTGTGTTAGTGCTGTTGGCCTCTTCTACTCTTTTCTCCCTCGGATTGAAACTGGCTCTCATCCAACAAAGAGTAAACAGAGAGAGTTTAAAACTCTGGAATAAATTGCAAAAATCATCAATTCAGCAGTGTCTAGCACAGAGGACAAACTTCCTACTTCCCCAGCAGTCTATGAATCATCACTGGTACCAGAGAGGACAAGCACTGGCCATTCTTCATGAGATGCTTCTGCAGATCTTCAACCTCTTCAGGGCAGATATTTCTCTGGATGGTTGGGAGAAAAGCCACATGGAGAATTTCCTCACTGAACTTCATCAACAGCTGGAATACCTAGAAATGCTTAAAGGCCTGGAAGCAGAGCAGAAAAGTGGCATTCTGAGTGGTGAGAACCCTAGGTTGCAGGTTAAAATGTACTTCTGGAGGATCCATGATTACCTGGAAAACCAGGAGTACAGCCGCTGCGCCTGGACCATTGTTCGAGTAGAAATCAACCGGTGTCTGTTCTTTGCCTTCCAACTGATAAGAAAGCTAAGAAAACAAGAAATGGATTCCTTGAAGAATGTAGAGCAAGAGCCAACTGCAGGCTTTAAAAGCATAGGGTAGGTGGAGGGGTGGGAGGACTTTTCCAGACACTATTATTCCTTTTTTTCATAAGTTGGTAGTATTGTTTTGGTTTTATGTGTATATATATATTTTTTTAATCTGTCCTTTAAGATTATGCATATTGACAATTGTCTGTATCTTGTAATGTCACTTTGTATTTTCTATTCATCTTAAGTTTTATGAGTTAAAGTAGATGCATTAACGTTTCATAATTGGTTCTTCAAATGGGTATATTTTCATCAAAGTTGACCAGGTAAATAAAATGAAATATGTCTCCACTGTAATAATACTTTTCTTAACATAGAACATCCATTCCAATGATTCCTTTGCCAGAAATTAGTAGACACAATGAGAAATACTAGGGATAATGTGCACTGTGAGATTTGAAAATATCAATACACACTGAATATTTGTTACAGGTGACACAATAGAAATAGGGCCAAAGGACGTAAGCAAGCAGATGCCAGAGGGAAAACAAATGCATGAGAAGAGATTCAACCTCACTTCAGATTACTGATCTCATATTTTCCCACAATACCATCCTAGGTGGAAGATAGCTGATGAGGAGGGTTTTTTCTTTTTCTTTTTACTGCCTTTTCACAGCAGCAGATTCAATGGTCTTTCTCCTTCTTAAAGAAGCTGAATATAGAGACTAGGATACCCCAGGTGCACCCCGTGACAGTAACCGTCTTCTCAGGAAAATGATCCAAACCAAGTTTTTGTCTGGAAGGGTTTCTGTTCCTCATGCCTGTGATTGTATGAAATCAGACCTACAACCATAACCCGACTGGATGAGGAATATGATGTGAACACAAAGGAAATCAAACCTCTGAAAGATAGAAGATTCTAAGGTAAAAGATGGCAGACTGGTTCAGTAATCCAGAAGTATAGATGTTTGGTAAATACAGAGATTTGGGGGGTATTCTTGGAATTGCCTTTGGCTGAAATGAGTCATTTAGACCAAGTTTTCTCCCCTGTATCCAATGACTGGATGTGGGAGGAAGAAGGCCCAGACACCTCACTCACCCTCTGAAGGGTCATTGCAGCTTCATAGCCCCGTCCCCCACCCAGGTTTTGATTGAAGCCATGTTGTGACTGGCCTGAAATTCAGCTTTTCCTCTCTTCCACCCCTGCCTTCTCTTCTCACATGTGTTGTGCCCATAGCCCTCCCCAAAAAAAACTCCTTGCATGGCAATTTTGTCTCGGAGTCTGCTTTCTCAGCACCTGACTTCCAAAAGCATTAATCCACAGACTTTCCATTTGAGGCCATAGAAAACCCAAATTCAGGGACGATGGGGTGGCTCAGTCGGTTAAGCGTCTGCCTTCGGCTCAGGTCATGATCTTGGGGTCCTGGGAATGAGTCCCGCATTGGGCTCCCTGCTCCGTGGGGAGTCTGCTTCTCCCTCTCCCTCTGCTGCTCCCCCTGCTTGTGCTCTCTCACTCTCTCTCTTTAAAAAATCTTTAAAAAATATGTAAATACCATATTGTCATGGTCATTTATATGTGTGAGAAGACACTCTACCTAGAGATGAGGAAGTCTTGTTTATGTGTCTTCTAAGAGGTTAAGTTCTTATTTTTGTTTTTCAGTTTGTCTACTTTTCCTGGATGGACAATTTGGATAAGCTATGTCTTGCAGTAAAAAATAAAGTATCTTTCTTTCTCTAATGAAAGATTGTTTTTTATCCTTGTATGGTATGGGTACAATAAGATAATGACATGATATGTAGAGCAGAAGTGCTGGTGGGAGCCCCTCTTCTAATTGTTCTGCTTATCTGAGAAAATCCTTTCCTGAACCCACTCTTCATGGGCCTTTGGTCCCTGTCTGCTGGTGATGGTTAGTCATGTTTTCAACTGCCAATTAATATAGAAACCACTGACACTAAACTTGAATATTTCCTATTCTCGGTTCAGTTAAAAAAAATGTAGTAGAAAAATATAAAACAATACATGTAAATAGTGTAAATGGCTCACTTTTACAGTTGTATAAAGTGTAACACTTCTTCCATTTTTCTGTTCAAAAGACCACTTGTCTTGTTATTGTCCAAAGTGGGTGGCTGCTAAATTAGTTTTTCCACCCACTATTAGTAGAGATTTGTTGACAAAATTCCTTATTTCTTTGGCTTGTATACCTGAAACATTATGGGTAAGGAAGATAGCCAGCATGTAGTATCTGGAGACTAGTAGCCAGAGTCACATTACAACGATGCAAGGAAGTGATCATAACACAAAAATGGTCCCATGGTTTTACCTTCAATGCAAGAAGAATCCATCTTCTTAGAAACCTGTTCAGACAAGTTTTAGTCACTGGAGGTGGAGATGTATACCTCTTGGGAAGGGTGAAGCAACGTTCAAGGAGAACAAAGAACAGGGTTAGCCTTGACCCATAAATCATGTGACTTTTTCTACCTAAGAGAGCTAAGTGCACATTGTTGTAGTGAAATTTATTCCAAGTTTCAATATAAGCCTTATAATTAATAAGGTGTTTCCCTAGGAGAAAATTTAATTATTCCAAATAACAGAAATTCATGTGGGTTCTTGTCAGATAAACAAGGTAGTTATCAATGTGGATAAAAATATTTATGATCAAAATGGAGTTAATTTGAGAGCATTAAAAATTGAATTCTTAGCTGGTATATTATTCAGTATAGTGGACTTGTTTTAGTAACAGCTCCTAATCTATTGTCACTCCTTGGGAGGAAGATTTGAGTGGAAGAGAAAGAGGCTCACTGAAACTGGGAAGGAAATAAGCATATTTCCAGAGCAAATTATGGGATTACATGAGAAATACCTTGAAGGACCTATTTGTGCCCACTAGAGGGGGAAGAAAAAGAAGATGCATTCTTTGGGTGGGATAGGGTTCAGGAACTGAAACAGAAAAGTCCTCAAAATACCTCTGGCTAAGTGGATTTCTACTATGGGTTGAAATTAGAAGGGCAAAGGGAGGTGTTTGGACATTTCAAGGTTTCAGCTGTAGCCCTCTAAAGGGAAATTGTCTCAGAAGACACACAAACTAGGGTCCTATGCAGGAAGGATGTTAGAGATTTCACCAACAGATTCATCTCTAAGTTCTGGGCAAAAAGTTCCTTGGAACACTTGGGCCCATATCTGAGGCATTAGACATCAAAAACCACATGTGGCCTTATCCATACATGGGGTAGAGCACATGGTTCCAGAGGAAAGATTTCTTCCCTAACGCATCTCTCTCAGATTGTTGTGTGCAACTAATGCCTAATATATTAAAAATAAACAAAACATAAACAAAAAACACTAACTGTCCTCATGACCCTGAGGTCAGACCTGAGCCGAAACCAAGAGCCAGTTGCTTAACCAACTACACCACCAACATGCCCCAATACATAACTTTTTTAATTTTTTAATTTTTTAAAAAATGATCAGCCTTTTTTTTTTTAGGATTTTATTTATTTATTTGACAGAGAGAGAGAGAGCACAAGCAGGAGGAGCAGCAGACAGAGAGAGAGGGGGAGGGAGAAGCAGGCTCCTCCCTGAGCAGAGAGCCTGACGTGGGACTCAATCCTAGGACCCTGGGATCATGACCTGAGCCGAAGGCAGACGCTTAACGACTGAGGACCCAGGTGCCCAATACATAAATTTTTTTAAAAGTCTGTCCAGTAAAGAACTATCAAGAAAATAAAAAGACATATAAAAAATCTCAAAAAATATTGATATTAATATTTTCAATATAAAAAACTCAAAAAAGTTTAACAGTGCAATAGCAATGTCAGCAAGAAATACAGAAGCAATTTACAAAAGCAGATATATTACAAGTAGATAATATACATAGATAGCCTTCCTAGGGATCATACATATAAATGAAAAATCTGATAAACAACAAGATGGTTTGGAGATGGTTGGGCTAAGAGCACACACCTATACACAGTAGAAGTGTAAAATTTTCAAACATGGGTGGTTATTTTGGTAAAATCTACCAAAATTCTTAAACCACTGGACCCAGCAAATGCAGTTCTGGATATTTATATTACAGAAATACTCTCTCCATACATCTGCCTAAATGTGTGCCCAAATTTATTTATTGCAGCATTATTTTTATAAAAGATAATTGCAGCCAAATTAATGTGCTCTTATAAAAGATTAGATAAGTAAACAATGGGCATTCCATATTATAGACTACTGTATAGCCATTAAATTCATTTACATAAAGAATATTCACCTGCATCCAGGCTCATGTTAAATACTAATGCATAGATTGTTTCGAATTTTTCCCAGTAGTCTGTTAACCTTAAAAAAATAAAACTGCCAGTTATTTACCAGAATAGTTAGTTTATTCAGGAATAGCACAGAACTGCAATCAGGCACAGCAAGGTATAGCAAAACAGTAGGCAAGTTTGGAATAAAAAGAAGGAATGTAGGGGTGCCTGGGTGGCTCAGTAGGCTAAACGTCTGCCTTCGGCTCAGGTCATGATCCCAGGGTCCTAGGATCAAGTCCCCTATAGGGCTCCCTGCTCAGTGGGGAGTCAGCTTCTCCCTCTACCCCTCCCCCCTGCTTGTGCTCTCTCTCTCTCTCTCTCATGCTCTCTCTCTCAAATAAATAAATAGAACCTTTCAAAAAAAGGAATGTACTTTTATAGAGAAAAGTGGTGGGGGGCATGGGGGGGGAGCTGTTATAAACAAAATTCCATTGGAAAAAACCAGGAGCTCAAAGTATAGTGGCTTCTCATTGGCTGAATTGTGACTTACTTCTCATTGGCTGGGCTTTTGCCAGGGGAGGAAGAAAGTTTTCTTCCTCCTGCTGGAATAGTAAAGTAGTATTGGCTTACAAGGTCCATCTCTTCCTATTGGATTTGCAATTGACTTTGGTCGCGATGGTAAGGCATGAGAGTTGCCTGTGTCCAACCTCCCAACTCCATTTTGGTGAGGTTTCTCTTTATTAATTTTCACATGTTGTATAGAAAAATCCATGTTACTGATCACATTATTGATTGTGATAACTAGCTTAGAAACAATGTGTACAAAAATGTTCT